CTGGTTCTGCTCCTTCATGGCCTAGTCTTGTGGACACCAGCAAGCAGTGGGACTACTATGCAAGGAGAGAGAAAGACCGAGATAGAGAAAGAGACAGAGACAGAGAGCGAGATCGTGATCGGGACAGAGAAAGAGAACGCACCAGAGAGAGAGAGAGAGAGCGTGATCACAGTCCTACACCAAGTGTTTTCAACAGGTTTGTTGGGTGTGCAGGAATTTTTACATATGTATTTCATATACACTTTCACATTTATATTTGGTGAGAGGAAGTGAATTCTTACTGCAGAACTTGATAGGAAAGAAGACTAAAGTGAATTTTTTTGTTAGAGTTCATAAATTTTCTTTTCATAAATAATACAATGTTTATAGAAGATTTAAGGCTAAATTTCTCTGATTCTTCTATTTCAAATACACACAAGCATAGCTACTGAATTTTTATTAAGACTTAAAAGTGTTAATGGATAGACCGCATTTGATTTTCAGGTTGCTGAACTATAGGGCATCAGGAGTCAATGTTTACCTAAATTTGACTAAAAGATTAAGGCTAGAGAGGCAAAAGGTAGAGGAATTTTGTGTTCTGAATTATCCCAAGAAAAAATCATGCCGTGGAAAATCCAGGTGAAGTATAAGTCAAGGCCATTTATTTCTAAAGACTGACATTTTAGCAATGTAGCATGTAGTATGTGTTGTATTATCAATTATGGGGTCATTGTTTTGAAAATTACAGACCAGTTTCAACATCTGTTTTTTAGGCAGCTTAATTGTGAGCCAGAAGGGAGGCTGTTCGTCCTAGGATGTTTGAAATGAGCTCTAATGATTTCCAGGCTCAGAGAAACCTTTGTGCTACAACCATTTATCAGAAAAGGGGATGGAAAGGAGAGTCTTTATATTTTGTGTGCAGGACCAAATCTTTCACCATCTGTTGTAAGGTTCCTATCATATGGCTGCTTTCAGTATCTAAAGGCCTTAAAGTTAACAAGACTTGGTTTTAGGGTAAGAGAGAAAAGAAAGGGTTACAAATGACAAATTATGAGATAATTAATCTTAATGATTTTTATGTAAATTTAGTCAATACAAAGAGAACCTCATATTTTCAGAGGAGTTAACTATAATATTCATTTGCTGCTATGGTATTAGTTTATTTTTACTTCAGAGCATAGTTCTTACAAGGTCAATAACCTTTACAAAAAATGTTCTGCTTCTGAAAAACTAACCATTAAATTCACTGAATACAGCCATTTATTGAGTGTGAACTCTTGTACCAAGCACTTTATAAATATTTTTGTCAGTTCTACAAAAACCCTGGAAAAGATTGTTGCCAGTTTGACAGATGAGAAAGCTGAGGTTTAAAGAACTTGAGTAAAAGGCTTGGTCACTCATTTAGTAAGTGGCAAAATCAGGATGTGATCCTGGGTATATTGCGCCTGCGCCTGTACTCTTTCCACTACTCTATATGGCCCGTATGGTACATTGCCTTTCAGATGTTAGGTTGTAGAAGGTGTTGACTTCTATACTAAACCAAAAACAAGAAAGAAAAATAAAAATAAGAGACTTGAAGGATTAAGATAAATAGGGAGAGAGGAATATCAGTTAAGGGACATGAATGGAGGATAGATCTAAGGAGGTAAAGACAGACCACCCTCTCAGGCTAGCCATCACTCCTCGTTTTACAAGTCTGTGTAATTCTGTTCACAGTCAGAAAGCCATGTGAATATCACAAGCCATATGTCTCCCCCCACACACCCACACAAACATATATAGTAGTATGATGTAATTGAGATGTCAGAACACAAATAGTGTATGTCCAATCTGTGCACGTTTTATATGGATATTGTAGAATTTGCTGTGATGTTTCCCTGTTCTTCATGTTTATACCTCTCCACTAGATGAATATATTCTTTCAGTAATGGATAAAGGTTTAAGAACCTCCATGTAGCCATTATGAGCCATGTATTTTTAGAATCTTAACTGTGTGCCCAAGACTTTATACATAATATAAGAATTTTGATTAGAAATCTGAGTTATACAAATAGACTTTTAATTCTAAAAGGAGCAAAAGAAAATGAAGCTGCCGATAAAAATTTAAGTTAGTTACAGATTCCACTTCTTCAAGGAAAAAAAAAAAGCTTTTTTTTTTTTTTTTTTTTTTTTTTTTTTTTTTTTACACCGGTAAGGAGATCGCAACCCTCAGCATGGTGTGGTCTGCACCACGCTCAGCCAGTGAGTGCACCGGCCATCCCTGTATAGGATCCGAACCTGCGGCCTCGGCATTCCCAGTGCCGTACTCTCCCAAGTGAGCCACGGGGCCAGCCCAAAAAAAGCATTTTTATATAAAATCTCTAGTTACCCCATAACAACCATGAAAGCACAGAACAAAGCTGGTCATTTAACATGATGTGTAATTATTATATGTTTTGTATTATATTAGATCTAATACTAATCTGGAAGCATCGTTTTCCTCTCAATTCAACGAATATTTGTTTCCCACCTATTCTGTGTAAGATACTAACATGTGGGGCTTCTGGTTTGGACTTTAGATCATATCTGTTTACCTTTTGAAATCATTCAGAATTAACAGTTCAGTTGTCAAGAAAACTTGTTTCTGTTTTAATTTCAGTGATGAAGAGCGATACAGATATAGGGAATATGCAGAAAGAGGTTATGAGCGTCACAGAGCAAGCCGAGAGAAAGAAGAACGACATAGAGAAAGACGACACAGAGAGAAAGAGGAAACCAGACACAAGTCATCACGAAGGTTTGCTCTTTAATAAAATAGTAAATTGATCTGAAGCTAAGAGAGAAATTGACTTCAGGAATTAAAAGCAAACATTTCCAAATAACCAGTAGAACAACATACATGTTCCTTATTGGTAGATTCGGAATAATTTGTGTAAATAGTTGATTCCTCATGAGGCATCAACAAAGATTTTTAAATCTAACTAACAAGACTATATTTAGTATCCCAAAAGCACAATTAACATGAAATAAAAAATAATATGTGAGAGATTTTGACTTACTACATTACCTCATTGGGAGAGGTGGAATTTTGGCCTATATATAGAGCCAATCTTTAATAATAAATATTTTTAAACAAAGCAATATTTGGCTTAATTAAAGAAAATTCAGTCTTCGTAGTCTCAAAAAAAAAATATCAACATTGAATTTTAATACCTATTGTTTACCAGAAATCAACCCTATGAAGTATTTCCTGTTCTGATTTAGTGCTTCAGTTTCTAATTTGCAATTAGGCTCTCATATTAAGTTTATGGGCATTGGAAATCTGGGATATCATCAGTTTAAGGTGACACTACAATGTAAGATAATCTTTGCATGAAAGTCACATAAAAACTGATATTCCCCAAAATATTTGTAAGGAAGAGAATGGATTAACTTATTTTAAAAACAGTGTTAGACTGAGAATTTACTTAGAGTGGGTTGATTTTTGTCACTGATTATGTATTTAAACATTTTAATACAGAACACACCTTTCTTTTTCTTCAGTAATAGTAGACGTCGCCATGAAAGTGAAGAAGGAGACAGTCATAGGAGACACAAGCACAAAAAATCTAAAAGAAGCAAAGAAGGAAAAGAAGCTGGCAGTGAACCTGCTCCTGAACAGGAGAGCACTGAAGCTACCCCTGCAGAATAGGCATGGTTTGGGCCTTTTGTGTATATTAGTGCCAGAAGTTGATACTATAAATCTTGTTATTTTTCTGGATAATGTTTAAGAAATTTACCCTTAATCTTGTTCTTAGTATGAAAAGTTAACTTTTTTCTTTTTCAAAATAAAAGAGTGAATTTTTCATGTTAAGTTAAACATCTTTGTCTTGTAATATTTAAAAAGTAAAAAGACAGCAATGATTTTACATCCAAGAAAGTAATGTGAATGAGTCACTTAGGGAATTTAAAGAGCTGCAATAAACCATGTACATACACAGTATCTAATAAAGGTCAAGGTTTGACCTTGGCCATAGTTTTATTGTTAATCAGACACCAGTCTCTTAAGAGGCTGCACTACGAAAGGCACCAAAAGGCCCCTCTAAGTCTTGACATTGAAACTAGTCTTTATCATTACTGCTGTGGCACTCTTGCTTAGCATATTAAAGGACTCATACACATTTTTGGTTTTTGTTTTTCTACTTTTTTTTATTGGTTATTAATATTAATGAGATACAAGGCTGATTGTCCTCCCTCGTGCCCTAGATGTGAAGGCCAGATCCTTACTGGAAGCATGCCCATTACCACAAATTGCAATTGTACCCTGTCTCCCCCACCCAATTACCCCAACCTCTCTCCCCCTCCCCCTTTCCCCCACTCCACTTTGTATCCCTAGGTATGTTCTCTCCCTCTGCAAATCCAACACACCACTATGGTCTTTCCTTCCTTCTTTCTCTCTTAGCTCCCACTTATGAGTGAGCACGTACGGTATTTATCCATAACCCTGTGCTTTGCTTATTTCACTCAACATAAGTTTTTCCAAGTTCATCCTTGTTGTTGCAAATGGGAGAATTTCATTCTTTTTTATGGTGGAGTAGTATTCCATGTTGAATATATACCACAATTTCCTTATCCAGTCGTACATCGACGGACATTTAGGTTGGTTCTATTTGTACACATTTTTGATATCACAATTTTTTGATAGTGGGTTTTCAGTGTTCTAAATTTGGGTTTATGGTGAAACTATATGGGGGCACTTTTATATCCAAATTAATAAAATCTATAAGGCTTTTGGATGGCCTCTGTGAAATAATTTGCCCTTATTGTAGTTTCTAGTAGGCACATGTACAAACGCTCATCACTGTCGCAAAGATTTGATTTGCCTCATGGCCATCTGTATGAGCCAGAGTCAAGCTGGTTTGGCCTTTCTTGATGCATTTTCCAAGGCTCATTGATAGAGCAGCACATGGAGTTTTTATACAGTTACTAACCATATTATGAATAAAAATAAACTTAATAACAAGAGCTTTAGATCTGTCATTTCTTATTAAAACTAAGAAGACAGAAGTTTATAATTTTGTGAGCATTTTTAGGGATAACCATAGGAGGTCTTTGTCAGTGATGGTAACATATATATAACATGGTATTTGAAAGAATGAATTACTAAGATCTTTTAAATGCTGATAGAAGAAGTAACAATTAGGATCACATACTAAAGACAACTGTAATTTTTGAAAAATATTTATTCTTTGATGAAAGGAACATTTCTCAGCAGTGCATTTTTAAAATCCTCTGGCTTTAAATTAAAAATGCCCATAATGTACTCTTTGCAGACCTCAGCATATACCAAATTTTTAATTTAAATTGATGATTTGAGTTTAAGGGGCATACGAACCATTTTTGCTGTTTGAGGGATTTTTATAGACCAGAAAAATATAAACTTAAAGTTGTGGAGTAATGAGAAATCTTCCACAATGAATAAAAACTATTAGTTTTTATCTTTTGAGAATCGTATTTTCTGACATGTAACTGGCTTTCATTAGATCATACTTTCCCTGACGTTTTTACAATGCATTCTTTAAATATAAAAATCCACAAGATAAATATATTGTTTCAACTTAGTCTATTTGTGATTTTTGTTTTTCTATGACTCATTGATTCTATAAAAAAGTGCCAGGCCAAGAAACAATAGTGAGAGTAATTCGTCCTTTAAGTTCTTTAAGCATCCTTGCCAAGCAAGCATGTATCATTCCTGATGTACTTCTACCATTGACAGCAAGAAGAATATCACCACATCTAAAAAAAAAATAAGATAAATGATTAATTTTTTAATCCATAGTGAAGTTAATGCAAGTTTATTTTGGTGGTCCTAGTTTTTGCTACTAATCAAGGATTTTTCTTTCCCCTTCTCACTTAAATTCTTCAAACTCACTGTCCATCTTGTGTTAGAAGGGATGCTAAAAGTATAGGAAGTTGCAGTATAGGACCAAGTGTATGTGTAATCATTTTGGACTTCTTAGAAGCTGAGTGCTACATTAATGTTTTTAGTTTCTCACCCCCACCCAAAAGTACAATAAATACATACATTATTTCAAATGGGGCCAAGGTTTTGCATATATAAAAATATTTGAATGTAAGTTTTTTGTTAAGTAGTCATTATTACCTAATTCTTCCATCATTGTATGCTGGTGTTCCTTCAACAATGGATTTGATAAAAAAAGGTTTGTTCCCATTGTATTCTTCATAACCTCCTACAATGCAGAAGCCCAGACTTCCAGCTGTGTTTCTTCGTAATATAACATCTTTACAATTATACAAGTACCTGAAATAGAATGTAATCAGTGTGTATGCATAGTTAAATTTAACTATTTGTGAATAATTATTGTGATTAATTTATTCCTTTTATTGGCATTTTATTAGGCTAGGTAACACTGGATAGGTCCCACTCCAAATCATGTTACAGCTCAGTGACCCTTGTGCTATTAGCTAGCTTTTTGTAATTGAACCTGTTTTCCATAGCTGAACATCCTTTAAAAAAAATGATATCATCTATTATGTTCTATTTATATTTCTACTGGGAAAGATAATCATATTTTTGGCTTAAGGAAGACAGTGCTTGAGTTCGTATTAGCAAAAAGTTGGATATGCCTAAATTCTTATTGATGAGCCAAATTCAAACATACTTATGGACCTATTTTTATTTACTTGTGGATATAAATAATTTTTAGTGAAGGCAAAAATCTTTTGAATAAGTGATTAATCTCGAAAAAAATTTAAACCTAAGCCTAATTAATGAATTTGTGGAATTTTGTTTGGCCTTTGGCCAAGTGCAGTTACCATAGAGATGTGTGTCAACAGGTGGGTTTTACTGTAAGATCTCCTTGTCCACCACATGTGTAGCTATAATATAGGATCTGCTTTGAAAGGAAATTAGCATTTTCCTGTTGGTAAAAAATCAACATGGCTGTTTTGTTCCTAAACTGTACCTTAAAATATTAAGTAGTTGCTTTTTGAAAATCAATAAAAAGTCTCTTGTGAAAAGAAAAAGTTTCTTGTGAAATGTTAAGTGATAAAGTTGATTATTACATTTGTTACCAATCTTGCTAATCAAAGTAACATGACTTTTTTCATGATGATGCTGACTCACTTGAAATAAAGCAAGCTATGGGGTTTGTTTGGTAAATACCTTTAAAATGTAGTACTAAAATTCAACTCTATACTGTTTTGTGTGTACTGTCATACATATGAGGATACTTTAAAAAGTTTATGAAAAGATACAATTGGAAGATAATATGAATCTTTCCATGAACTTTTTGAAGTACCCTTATATACATCATTTACAACAATTTCACTTACATGACAGCTGAAAAGTATGGATTTCATTAAATGAAAAAACATGCCACATTATAAAATATTTATCTGCTGTATTTTTAAGTAAATCTCTATGTCAGTAGTAAATTCATCCTGGAGGAGCTGTGGTGTGTGTGTCAGGTACCACGTTTTACATAACACAGTTCACTATCTGCTCATGTACAAAGCGCGTAATCGGCTGTTCCCCAAGCACCAAAGCATTACATTCCCAGTTGGGAGGCTGTGTGCCCAATTTTTTGGAGAAAGTAAGTAAATGAATTAGATGATTATTAGATGATTCTTATCCAAAGTCATGATCAAGCATCTGTATTAACATTTACCAGTTGTGATTCTTTAAAATATATAAATGGGAACTTGAAACTGTCATTGTTTCTCATTCTTTTGATCGCTAATTGTGTTTTTTTCCATTAAGTATCTCCTTGGACCCTGCACTGACTCACTGAATACTTTATTTCATATGGACAAGCTGTAAACAATCTAAAAATTACATGTTCCAGTATGAAAGTTTGCAACCTAACATTAAGTCACAACTGCATCTATTTTTGCTATACTCTTGATGCTGGACAGCAGGAATCTGCTTGGAACACAGTTCAGCATATGTATATTGAGAGTATACCATGCTCTAGGTACTTAGGATATATTGGTGAACAAAACAAAAATCCCTGCCCTCCTGCAGCATCCATTCATGTAGATATGAATGTCACCAGTTTTATTTCATTAAGAGTAAGTGTTTTCCTTTAGTTGGGCTGAGTATTTAACTTTCCTGTAGCAGCAAAAACACAGTATATTAAACACTTAAAGTCAGACCTTGGTTAGTTGGGATTAATGGATACTTTTTTCTTAAGTTGAATTATTTCACTCCCCACTGGGAAATATGGCAGCTGTTTTTGATCAATGACCTTTCAGATATTAAGGGACTTTAAACTCTGAATGTAAATATGAGCTTTTATCCTATTCTGAACTCATTCTCTAAAGTTAGGCCTAATAAAAAGAGCTTAGGCGTAATATAAGAAATAGCAAGGAGTTTGGTAATTTTTCCCAATGAGAAAATGATATTTATCTCAAAAATTAACTCCTTGAAATGTGTTAATGAGTGTGAAGCCTCAGTTGCTCAAAAAGCTAAGGTTTTTCTAAATTTTCCATATATCCCCTTATATACCAGTTTATTCTATAAACATTTGAGAACACTGCCTGGCTCTGAGCTAGGGTCTTGGGAATATTAAGAAAACTAAGGCATAGCCTCTTTCCTTAAGGAAAACACTTTAGGGTTAGAAAATGAGTGTATCAACCAAAGCTAGTTGAAAGACCATATTTCTTCCTGATTTGAATTCTTTTAAGTTTCTAAATTTGCTAGATGGTGTTAGAATAGCAGGGGTTGGAAAGACAGGGATGGTAGAATGTTTGGAGCTTCTCATGAGTGCAAAAAATTGAATCTATAGCCAGTATCTGTCCTTTCATAAAATGTTACCTTATTATTTTACTATTACTGTCTGTGCTCAGAAGGGTTTAACTTTTTGGCCCCGATATGCATGTAACCATTACTGTTAATAGATTCCGGTCTGTAATACAGAGTCTCCTACTGTTGATTAACTTCAAATTTGCTTCAGCTTCTGGATCAGGAGCCTCTCAGTCTGTGGTAAAGGACCAGTTTTTTTGTTTTTTTTTTTTAATTTCCAGTTTATTGCAGACCAATACGTTTATTAAATAAAATAAAAATTGAATTTCTAGAAAAATGAAATCTTAGAAACATACAAAATAACCGAAATTTTAATTATATTCAACAAATGGAAAACTACATTTCAATAAATATAAAAAAATAAAAGGAAAAGAATTACCAAAACTACATTAGTTAAAATGCTTATAGGAGATTATTAATACAGACAATCAGTTACCCTAATAACCTTTTGTTCTTCAATTGTTTTTGTAAAGTTATGAGAGAAATACTGTGTCCCCATATTCCTAAGTGTCTTTAACTTTGAACATACATGTATAGCAACATCTTAAGGTTTGTAATATAAATGAGGTTGCTACTAGGTTGGCTTGATGACAGTGCTATTTGCAGTAGATAAGGATATCTAAACTTTCTACAACATAGAAAAACCAGTATTGCAGAGATATGTTCATGAAAACAGAAGAAAAGATTTGAAAGCAATTTTAATAAGCTTAAGATTTTTAACTTTTATCCAAAATGAAGCAAATGATTTAACTTCAAAATTTGTCTTTTATTATTCTTCAATGATACCAGTTACAACAGTTTATCCTATGAAGTTATCATAGTTAAATAATCTCTCAATGACATGAATTCTGGATTAATGAATTTCCTTTTTATTTGCTTTTCTGAAAAAACTGTCAAATCTGTAAGATGTTTGGCAATACCTTTTGCAGATGTGCAGCATCAAATTTATTCTACCTCATTGATAATTGTTAAATTACATCATAACAATTTATGGGAACTATTCTTCCAAGCTTCTAACTTTCATTTTGTCCTTTGATCTTATTGGCCATTGAAAAACACCTTGCATTTCTTCCTTGCAGGAAGTATTAAGGTCAGCAAAAATATTGACGATTATCTGGCAAATATACAAGTTTGGCTATCCAATTTACATCTTTTAGAAATTGAGACCAAACTAGTTTCCTAGCTTGCAGAAAAAATAAGGGCTCAATCTGTTGTTCAAACATTTTTAGCAGAACTTTTCTTCTTTATAACTCTTAGCATGCAATAATAGTTCCTTATGATTTAGCTTTCAAATTATCCCATAATAAAAATAACCTAGAATCTATGCATTACCCTTTCCATAGCTCACATTTTTTACTGTGTCACCAAGCACATTGTTTAGTTCAGCTGACATCTTTTTTCATAGCAAAATTTTCTCAAAGGATACACCATATCAGGTTCCATTCCTTCTGGTGCACTTTCTTTAATCTGGGTAAGCACAAGAGTTTGCCCATCAATGCAACTGCACCAGCAAAACATACTACATAAAACTTAAACTTGTAATTGGCTAACAGTGTAAACTTTCATTTGGTATGGTTCAGAGCTAGTTGTGTTTGTCACCAAAAAATCAAAAACAAAAATTCTCATATCACAATCATGTTTAAATCATACATATACTAAAAGATTTGCCAGCATAATAATACCTGTGCATTTGTCAAGTTAAAATGAAAAATACATTGCTGGATTTATTTTTTTCTAAGTTGGTTTTACATATCATTAGTCATGGAAAATGGTACCTCCCCCCCCCCCCCCCAGATTCACCCAACGTTTCCAAGCAAACTATAGTCTTCATATATACCTTGGCAATGTATATATATTATATATATTTTTAATCTTAACTTAAAATGCTACTTTATTGTAAGAAGTCCATAAAGTATTGTTTGTACAAAACATTGGCATTTGCTTCTGGTGACTTTTTAATTTAATACTCTTTTCTTTCAAAAAAGTTGTTTTGAACTTCTTTGTTTTGTAAGTGACATTTATGATTTCATTGCTTCATTAAGCCAACATCTCTCCACAAGTAAAGTGGTTTTACTACTTCACCAACAATTACAGCTGCAAAACTAAGCTCCATAGATGAGTAAAAAGCAGAATGAACTCTTTTTTTTTTTTTTTTTTTTTAAATCACTTGTATCATTTGAAATAACTACGGTTGTCATTTGTTTTCAGAAAAGGTGTGGCTTGTCTTGACAAAAAGTTCAGTGAAGCTTGATTCTCCATCAATAAATAGGAAATTTCCTTACCTAATTCAGCTAATAATGTAAACTAAGCTACATATTTAAAGCAGTTTTGATTAAAAATTTAAATGATTATAAAATAAGTTTTAAAAAATCTTTATGGTCTCAGATTTTTACACATATTTTGGTTACAGCTTAAAATATTATAAGTTGTGATGTGGTGTCCTATTGTACACTAGTATGTAGCTTGCACAACATAAACTCACCAAGCCAGTTCAA